AAATACAAAAGATTATAAGAGAATACTATGAAAAACTATATGCCAACAAATTGGACAATCTAGAAGAAATGGATAAATTCCTAGACTCATACACCCTCCCAAAACTGAATCAAGAAGAAATAGAGAACCTGAATAGACCAATCATAAGTAAAGAGATTGAAACAGTAATCAAGAACCTCCCAAAAAATAAAAGTCCGGGATGAGATGGCTTCTCTGGAGAATTTACCAAACAGTCAAAGAAGACTTAATACCTCTCCTTCTCAAATTATTCCAAAAAGTAGACAGAGATGGAACACTTCCCAACACATTCTACGAGGCCAACATCACCCTGATACCAAAGACAATACTAAGAAGGAAAACTACAGACCAATATCCCTGATGAACATAGATGCAAAAATCCTCAACAAAATATTGGCAAACCGAATACAGCAATACATTAAAAAGATCATACACCACGATCAAGTGGGATTTATACCAGGGACACAGGGATGGTTCAACATTCGCAAATCAATCGATGTGATACACCGCATTAGCAAAACGAGGAATAAAAACCATATGATCATCTCAATAGATGCAGAGAAGACTTTTGACAAGATCCAACATCCATTTATGATAAAAACACTCAACAAAATGGGTATAGAAGGAAAGTACCTTAACATAATAAAGCCCATATATGACAAACCCACAGCAAACATCATACCCAATGGGGAAAAACTGAAAGCCATCCCTCTGAAAACAGGGACAAGACAAGGGTGCCCACTCTCGCCAGTCTTATTCAACACAGTACTGGAGGTTCTGGCCAGAGCAATTAGGCAAGAAAAAGGAATAAAAGGAATCAAAATAGGCAGTGAAGAAGTGAAACTCTCGCTGTTTACAGATGACATGATCTTATATATAGAAAACCCTAAAGAATCCATTGGAAAACTATTAGAAATAATCAACAACTACAGCCAAGTGGCAGGGTACAAAATCAACTTACAGAAATCAGTTGCATTTCTATATACCAACAATGAACTAACAGAAAAAGAACTCAAGAAGACAATCCCATTTACAATTGCAACAAAAAGAGTAAAATATCTAGAAGTAAATTTAACCAAGGAAATGAAAGACCCATACAATAAAAACTATAAGACATTACTGAGTGAAATCAGTGATGACATAAAGAAGTGGAAAAAGATTCCATGCACTAGGATTGGAAGAATAAACATTGTTAAAATGTCCATACTACCTAAAGCGATCTACAGATTCAGTGCAATCCCAATCAGAATCCCAAGGACATTCTTCACAGAAATAGAACAAAGAATGCTAACATTCATATGGGGCAACAAAAGACCCTGTATAGCTAAAGCAATCCTGAAAAAGAAGAACAAGGCTGGAGGAATCACAATCCCTGACTTCAAAACATACTACAAAGTGATAGTAATTAAAACAGCATGGTACTGGTACAAAAACAGACACACAGATCAATGGAACGGAATTGAAAGTCCAGAAATAAAACCTCATATCTTTGGGCAGCTAATCTTTGACAAAGGAGCTAAGGACATACAGTGGAGAAAGGAAAGTCTCTTCAATAAATGGTGCTGGGAAAACTGGACAGCCACTTGCAAAAGAATGAAAGTAGACCATCTTTTTTCACCATACACAAAAATTAACTCAAAATGGATCAAAGACCTGAAGGTGAGACCTGAAACTATAAAACTCTTGGAGGAAAATATAGGTGATACGCTATTCATCACCAGCCATAAAAGGATCTTTTTGAACTCCATGTCTACTCAGACAAGGGAAACAAAAGAAAAAATAAACAAGTGGGACTTCATCAGATTAAAGAGCTTCTACAAGGCAAATGAAACCAGGATCAAAATGAATAGGCAACCCACCAGCTGGGAAAAAATATTTGCAAACCATATATCTGACAAGGGATTAATCTCCATAATATATAAAGAACTCACACAACTGAATAACAAAAAAACAACCCAATCGAAAAATGGGCAGAGGAAATGAACAGACACTTCTCCAAAGAAGATATACAGATGGCCAATAGGCACATGAAAAGATCCTCAACATCGCTAATCATCAGGGAAATGCAAATCAAAACCACACTAGTATATCAGCTTACACTCTTTACAATGGCTATAATCACCAAGAGGAAAAGCAACAAATGCTGGAGAGGCTGTGGAGAAAGGGGAACCCTAATCCACTGCTGGTGGGAATGCAAAGTGGTGCAGCCTTTATGGAAAACAGTATGGAGATTCCTCAAAAAATTAAAAATAGAAATACCTTATGATCTAGCTATCCCACTACTGGGTATCTACCCAAAAAACCTGAAATCAACAATCCAAAGAGGCTTATGCACCCCTATGTTCATCGCAGCATTATTCACTATAGCCAAGACATGGAAGCAACCCAAATGTCCCTCGACTGATGATTGGATAAAGAAAATGTGGTATATATATACCGTGGAATACTACTCAGCCATAAAAAACCACAAAATTGTCCCATTTGCAACAACATGGATGGGCCTGGAGGATATTATGTTAAGTGAAGTAAGCCAGAAGGAGAAAGACAAACACTGTATGATCTCACTCATATGTGGAATATAAACCAACACATGGACAGAGAAAACTTTATTGTGGTTACCAGGGGCAATGGGGGTGGGAGGTGGGCACAAGGGGTGAAGGGAGTCATATATATGATGATGGACAAACAAAATTGTACAACCCAAAATTTCACAATGTTAAAAACTATTAAAACATCAATTAAAAAAAATTCACACAAAAAAAAGATTAGTTAAAACCAAATAATATAATATGTAAATATGCAAACCAGTTTAATTGGTAACATAAACTGCAGTTCATTGGAAGTTACTAAATAAATGAGAATACCTCTATCAGTTCCTCCATGCTGTATTACTTACGTTCTTCCTTCAGGATACCTCATTTACCTCATGTGACACCTGACTGACTGACATATGGGCTAAAGTGTCAATCTATGTATTAAATAATAGTGAAACTTAATTTCGTTTTTTTTAGGTAACATAAGTTGGAAATACAGTGTTTACTTATCATGCACCAAGGGGTTGTCTTTTGCACTCTCTTATATGACTGGATCTCATATTGGAAACCACTGGAAACGATATGTTCCTGGTAGCCTGGTCTTCAATCTAACGCTTCTCTATTGCTCAGATATTATCTTCAAAAATTCCGTAACACAGGTTTTGCATTTTAACTAGACTGGTGGTGGTCTCTAAAACATTATGTTGTATTCTGAACATTCATTATTTTTCCTATTCCATGAAGGAATGATTTTCATCTCTTTTTCACTCATTCAAATAACTTTAATTTTTTGGATAAAGAGCATATCATGTGTACCATGTTCCCCTCTCCTGTGACCCATGATTGACTCTGCTAATAAATCACAACATTCTTTGCTACTGCTCTCAAGTTAACCCCAGAATCCCTCTTAACACAACCTTGCAGGCAACTTACAATTCAGGATGTGAATTGAAACCTGGTTGCTTTAGAGTACTGTTCACATCCTGCCTTTTTAATGAAATTTTCCTTAACTATGCTTGTTTCTGTCTTCTATATTTTAAGATATCCTGCCCTATAGTATAGTTATTTATTGTTATCTCCTTATGCAAGATTATAAGCTTTTGAGAACAGAGATTCCTACTCATACTTGTAAATCTTTTACAATATTATAGTGTATTAAATTTTTTATATGACATTTATTGTTGCTGGAGACTTTGCATCACATATTTGTGTGTGAGAAAACACTAATGTACTGATTTTTGAACCCCAAATTTTGAAACAAGTAATTTAGCAACCATATAAACTACTGCTAAAAGTAGTTTTTAAAAAATGGCTCATGAATTTGTGTTTTTATGTCTTTTGGCTTCCATTAGGTTTTATAATGTTTCAGTTGATACTGAGTTTACTCTCTAATTTAACCCAGAATACTTTTATGAATTATTCCTTTATAATTCTTTCAATATTTTTGTTTTATTTAGAATACTTATTAATTTTAGGAAAATACGTAGTTAAAATTTCACAAGTAGAACAGATTTATCCTAAGAAAGATGTGTGTATATATGGATTTCCAGAAGGGCTTTTAGATGGAGTATTCAGCTGTATCAGATACCTTTGAGATGTCAAGTAAGTTAAGGACATAATGTATTTTTCTTAGTTACATAGAGGTCCTTGGTAACCTCTGTGAGACATTTTAATGGGTGGCAGATGCCAGAATGTAATAGTAAATAGGGAATGACAAAGTGAAGACAAGGAGTATAAGTTAACATTTCAATAAGCTTGTTTGTGAAGGGAAGGAGAAGATGTGGGATCTAGGATGGATTGTTTAAAATAAGAGAGAAGTCGGGGCCAGCCTGGTGGCATAGCAGATAGGTGTGCACTCTCCGCTCTGGCGACCCGAGGGTTCACAGGTTCGGATCCTTGGTGCGCACCAACACACCGCTTGTCAAGCCACGCTGTGGCGGCATCTCATATAAAATAGAGGAAGATGGGCACGGATGTTAGCCCAGGGCCGATTTTCCTTGGCAAAAAGAGGAGGATTGGCATCGGATGTTAGCTCAGGGTGATCTTCCTCACAAAAAATAAATAAAACAAACAAATAAAATAAGAGGGAAGTGAACATGATATTATTTTGATAGCAAGTTTTTACAGGTTCAGGTGAAAGATAGGAAGTAGGTATATTAATGTTCCTGAGTAAACTGGAGTTCATGGGATGTAGAGCACAAGTGGAGGGATTAGTCTGTGCTTAGAGGAGGGGCACATGTTCCTCTGAGACAGGAGGGGAGGACAGAAGTGAGGGTCCAGATGTAGATGTTTCATAGTAGGGACCTAATATTAGATAATATTCTCCAATGGCCTTATACTGTTTTTTTTTAAAGCATTTATCAGTATACCAAATGTACAATATTTATCAATATTATAACATAATATGATATAGGAGAGCATTTCTTAAATATAACTAGTAATAAAAAATCACCTGGGCTACTTGATTAAAAAATATAGATTCCAAGGCCTTTCCTTTAAAGATTCAGTAGATCTGAAATAGACAGTGTAGAGAAAAGGCATTCCAGGCAGGATGAAAAGCATTTAGAAAGGCATGGACTTTCGAAACTATAGGAGATTCAGACAAATAGCAAAAGTCCCCTTCAAACAACTGTATCTGACAGGTGATACAGTACTGAAAGTAAGGTTATGTAAAGCACTTTGCACAGTGCCTGACAGAGTAAACACACAATAAATTTTAGTTATTATAGTTATTATTCCCACATTTCTTATTTTTCTAAAGATTAAGTACTTCATATTCATACTGGTTAATTTGCTTGATTAGAATTTTAGAATGAAATAAGCTTAGAGAATGCACACAAGCAAGCTCTAATTTGTGGTTTTATTTTCACAGGATTTTCTCTCTTCTCTCGGCAATACTACATTTGGGTAATATCTGTTATAAAAAGAAGACATACCGGGATGACTCCATAGATATCTGTAATCCTGAAATTCTGCCTATTGTCTCAGAATTATTAGAAGTGAGTGATTACATTTTCGGTTGTCATTTCAAATACTGTGTAACTGCTCAGTTCTTATTTTATATAACTATTTTGTGAGTGTAAAAGGGGTTAATGCTGTTTATTAATAGTGTTTCTCCAAAAGATGAAATTTTTGCTATTGAGTGTACGAGAAGATTTGGGTTTTCTCCCTTGTCTTTCCTTGCCCCAGATATTCATAACCCTTCGATTTGCTGGATAGGATGAATATTTCATTCTAGACTGTATAATGTTCTAGGCCTTTGCTAGTTTTTCTCCTATATTTGAGGCATCTTCTCATACTAAGATTTTGTTTAGATTATTTTATTTGAAGATGGGATATTTGGATGGAGAGAAAAGGGTGTTATTTTTTCTTTCTTCATGCCTAAATAGGAGCTGAAGGTCTTCATCTCTTACCATGCTTCTTCCCATATCAAGATCTTTATTACCTTAATCTTTCTTCCTGGAGTGATGATTTTTCATATTTTCTCCGCTAACTTCTCATCTTGCTAGAGTCATGTTAAAAGAGGTATCGGTTTTTATAGGCCCTCTCATCTGACAGAGCAGGGAAATATGTGTGTATGTGTGTATATACCTGTGTATATTTGCATATCTACAAATATATTTACGTAACCATCTGTATCTATATAAAGATAAACATGAGGCCTTACTGATGTTTCTAACTTATCCATTGCCATATGTATCATTCTAGCTTTCTCCACTTGCTTATCTGTAAACTACCATTCTAACAATGAGGAACCTGTCTCCCACTATCTACTATTCATTTACTTAATTATTCAATTCCAGTTTACATATATAGCAGTATTAGAATTGTTAACCCATACTCCTGTGGGAAAGGACTTTATCAACTCGAGTATGGTGCTTTTGTGCAGTTCCTTTTGCCTTTAGTTTTACAGACTCCATTCACTTTCAAAATTATCTAGGTCAGCACCTTTTCCTCCCACCCCCTTCAGTGAGGTTGTTTCTTATATTTGTCATACAGTTAGATTCTCTTGTCATTATCTGCATTCTTTTCTAGGAGCCCTCAATGTCTTAAATAATTTTCTAAAAATTTGTATCATATAAAAATTTCACAAACAGTATCATATAAAATTTCACTGCCCTAAAAATGCCCTGTGCTTCACCTATTCAACTCTCTCCTCTGAAACCCCTGGCAACCACTGATCTTTTTACTAGCTCTGTAGATTTTCCTTTTCCAGAATGTAACATAATTGGAGTCATACAGTATATAGCCTTTTCAG